TCATCAGTGGGATGAGTGCGTGTGAACCAAGTACATCTTGAATTGGGCCAGGATGTGATTTGTAATCAGTATCTCTTTCGAACATGATGAATCCGCGTGTTGGATGTGATTCTTGAGTCGAGAGGCGTTTCAGGATGAATTGATGGTGTCTAGTGGTCGCTATCCAGTTTAGCGGAGGCATAAAGACATCGTGTCGTGTCAATTCATTCGAGGTTCCTTTAAAGGCTCCTAATGCGATCAAGTTGGCCTTGTTCTGAAGGGTATCTAGAATTTTAATCGCTTTCTTTTCAGTTTTCTTAGTTAACCAAGCTATGCTGCCATAAAGGACTCTCGGGATAAGCACGGACTTGATTAGTTTTTTAATTTCTTTCATTGACAAGCTGGAATAGCATTTATTTAACCGTCTAAACTGATTTAAGGTTAGTTCTCCCGTTTTTTTCATGTGTTGAATATGACTGTTGAAATTGAGCTTTGGGTCAAGCCAGAGTCCTAGCCATCTCACCTCCTCCTTAGGTCGTAAAAGGCTGTCGCCGAATTGAAATGATGGATTTTCTGATTTTCGTTTGTTGGTAAAGTGCATCAGTTGGGCTTTTTTGTTATCAAATATAGCTCCATGTTTACGAGCCCAGACTAGCGATCGTTCGGCGTGGGATTTGAGTTTGTGAATGTTTGAGCTGAAGTCTTTGGATGCTACTACATGCACTACATCGTCTATGAATCCAATAGATATGTCGCTCGATGTCGGTGAGGGGCTCTTCATGTCGAGGAGTTCTGAGTTATAAATGATGTACAGTATCACTGAAAGAGGGGAGCCTTGTGGAAGGCCATTTTCGATGTTGAATTGTTCTGATATAAAATCTTGAATCCGTAAGTTTGTTGTTCTTTCAGTTAGAAAACCTTGAGTTAGCTTTACCAGATATTTCGGGCAGTTCTTGGTCTCAAGGATATGCCATAACCTTTCGCGGTGGACAGATGGGTACGCCGATTTCACATCGAGGAACAAGGCTGATACTACTTCTTTATTTCGCCATTTTTCTTTAACCCAGGACATGAGGATTAGAAGGGCGTCGTCTGTGCTATGTTGGCGGCGGCCACCCATATGGCAGGGTGAGATAATTTTGAAATTTTCAGCCCAGAACGTGATCCTGCTGGTAATGAGTTTTTCTAAAATCTTTCCTAAGCAGCTTAGTAACGCTATAGGTCGGTAAGCATTGGGAATCGAGTAATCATCTTTACCAGCTTTTCGGATTATGATTGTGACCGCTGATCTCCACCCATCCGGGAAGTGGCCGATTTTGAAGCATGCGTTGAAGAGACGGCATAGTTCATTTTCAATTGCTGGTAAGGCTAGTTTCAATAGTTCGTTCGAGATTGTGTCTTCACCTTGGGCTTTCCTATTTGGTAGTGCGTCTACAATTCTTCTCAGTTCTCTCGTATCTAATTCAGGGTACTGGAGAGGAATTTGGTGGTTGGGTGTTGTGTTACGCGCTGGAATATCCGATAGGTCCGCTTCGATGTGGGCAACAGAGGTGCCTTCGAAAAGTAGTTTGGCTTGTTGATTCTTTTCTGATGCGATTGAACCGTCTGGATATCGTAGGGGTGCTACTTCGCCCGATGAAGATGGTTTGGCGAACTTGAAGGCTTTAAATGTATCATTTCCTGAACATGAGGCTAGGAAATGTTTCCAGTGGTTGATTTTGGCCTTGAGAACTTGCTGTTTGAAGTATCGCTGCCAGTCTGCGTAGCATTGATGTGCTTCTGGTAAATTAGAAAGCGCCATCCACCGTCTGGCTCGGTTTCTTGCTTTGAGGATCGGGTTGAGGATGTCCGCGTTCCACCAGACTTTATGCTTTTTTGGGTCTGTTTTTACTTTTTTACCTTGAGCATGGGCTGCTTCTATGATTATTTGTGTTAGCAAGGTGACGCCTTGGTTGATGTCATTTGGGCAAGCATAGTCTGGTGGAAGTTGGATCAATGAATCTGTGATTTTTTCATGGAAGGGAGAGATTTGGAGGTCAGTTAATTTCAAGGATATGTGTGTAGTGATAGGGGGAATAAAGGCAAGATCGAGAAAGGTAGCTACGGGTAGATGGTCTGAACATAATCCATCCTGTATAACTTTACAGCTAATGACTTTACTCTTGAGGTTCCAGTTTGTCCAGACTTGGTCAATAGCTGTGGGTTTTGTTCCTTTTGAGAATCGGGTTGGGACTCCTTTTGGTGATGTTAGAGAGAGTCCCGCATTGCCGCAAACATGAATGAGTTTCTTAGCAAGTGAGTCAGTTCGGTTGTAGTCCGGGGGATTCCATATTTGGTGATGTAAATTAGAGTCGGTTGTCATGATGGTTTGTGTTCGTCTCTCGTGGTAGAGTCGGAGCCATCTTTCGAGCATAGCCATTCCTCTTAAAGAGCCTGGTGGATTGTACCAAGAGATGATTCGGAGTTTGTTGTGAGGGTCGATCGGGTTCTTGATTTCAACACCTAGTATTATGTCTGAACTACTAGGGAGGATGGTTATATTTGTTGTGGGAATGAGTTTGGAAATATAAATACATGTACGTGGTCTGTCATCCCAATTTGTGGGGAAGTAGTCGTAAGCTGTGATTCGGTGCCACGCTGTGTGGGTAGGGAAATTTAGGGTGTATGTGTTAAACCATGGTTCTTGTAGCGATAAGATCGTGTATTGAGTTTGCGTTAAGGCTTCATGAGTGATGTCTTGAGATTTGTGACAATTGAAATGAAGGACTGAGATTTTTTCGAGGCTGATTGGAGTGTCTGAAAAATTATCTTCGGATGAGTAATCTACAAAATTATTTGGAGGATTTGGGGGGAGACTGTTGAGGTTTTCTTGATGACTATTATGATTCATCATCGATAATTATTTGGTTGGGAATTTGGAATTGTGTCTTTCTGAGAGGGCACAGTAAGCTTTTGGGCGAGTGAGCATATTTGGGTAGGAATCTGTCAATGCGGGTTTTTGATCTGCTTGAGTCAAAACTTACGCATCTGGCACAGGTTTGGCTGACATCATTGTTAGCACAATCTTTTGTGTTGTGGGAATCACCACATTTAGTGCAGTGAGCAACGTATTTGCAGTTTGATTGAACATGATTTAAATCTAGACAATTAAAACACATCGTTGGGCCTTGTACATAAGTTTTACTTCGAAGTCTGGTACAGTCTACATGTATACCGCCCCCTTTTTCGATTTTGTGAGCTAGGGTCTTGTCTAAGAAATTAATTACAATCGTGCCATGTTGTTTCTTAGTGTCTTCAGGGTTCTTGATCCATTTTGCTGAGTGGACTGAATTGATCGGGATGTTGTTTTGTTCGCTTAATTTAATGATAAACTCTTTGTCTCCTACTTTGAATTCAGCCGGTACATAGTTGAAAAGAATTGGGTAGCGAGTTTGGTTTGTTTCGAAGTCTTTGTGGGCTAGTTTTGTCCATTGATGTTTATTTTCAAGAAGCCATTTTTTGAAGAATCGATTTTCCATTGTCATCATAATGTCACCTGATTTTAAGAGGGCTGCACTTTGAATTCTGACTGGTTTTTCGTTGACTGTTGCGTTGATTGATTCTAATGCTGAGTTAATTTTTTCTACAATCGTGATGTTCGACATTCCTTTGAAAGGTTCAGCCTCTGAATTCTTGTGAATAATGAGAGTCGCCGATTTGAATTCGTTGATTTCAACGTTTCTGGGAGGAGCTTTCGGAGTTTGAGTCGTGGTCGCGTTGGTCTTAGGATAGGGGTTTGTCCAGGCTTTAGGTTTCGCAGGTAATTGAAGTACTCCTGGTTGTTGTTGAGGTTGTTGCTGTGGTTGGACCGACGTAGCTCTTTCTGCTTTAAGTTGTCTAATTTCTTCTCTGAGTTCACTGATCGTTGTGTTGAACATTCTGGTCATACTGTCCATCATTTTGATAACGATTTGTAGAAGGGTGTCGTTCGCTTGAGGGTTTCTCGATGATAGGGACCTGAGCTCGCTCATCATCGAATCCGTTTCGTCTGATCGAAAGGCAGGGTTTTTTGGGGGGGGGTGATCCGGATCACCTGCGTCGGTGTCCGGTGGACGTTTCTGAGGCATAGAACGGTAGTTTGAGGGATTATTGGCTTATTTGAAGATGAGAACGATGAATGAACCGTGGTGAATCTTCTCCCAGTTTCCCAGTTTGCGCAAACACAGCCAAAAAGTCCGAATTGGGAAACCCGGAACAAATCCGGGTTTCTAGTTTGTATCCCGTAAATACCGATTCCATTCTCATCGGGGTCTCCTGATGTCAGCGATATCAATCGCATTGGAGGTAGAATTTCCTGATGAAAATATTTCGTGCATGACTCAAAGGTCCCATCGTCATATGTCATTTCTAAAACAAAGCAGCTTTATGTCCGATAATCGAATACCCTTGCATCTTTGTCTGGTATAACTCGGCTTTGTTTGAACGCAAGTGCAAAGGCAAAACTTTAAAGCAACAAACATATGCTGAAATACCATCTTGCAGTCTGAGGTGCTGGTCTTCATACTTTGTGATAATTGCTTAGCAGTCTATAAGAGGTAATTGGAAGCTCTCACATCATCTAGACAAGATTTGCCGATCAATTGCCACAGATATCAAGGTAAGAGTCATCAAACCATTCTGACCGGCATTCAAACTTGAGAATCATCAATACTTTAGGACTGCATTTCAATCCACATCTTAGGCAGAGGACAAAGGGCATTCATCAAATAAGCTAAAGATATGCACGAGTGAATCTTGAAAGAAAAGACTGATCTGAACTGTAACCAACATAACATATGAAACTGAGATAAAGACTACTGTGAGGCAAGAGGAGAAAGAAGATGATAAAAGCAAGTAAATATCAAGATACGGTTATATCAAGTGATCTGATATACCAAAAAAGGATCAAAACCATTCGAAATCCATCTTGAAGGGATCTTAAAATTTACTCGTCTTAGTCCAAATTCACCTGATATCCTCTAGTCTTCCATTCATCTTATCAATCATCCCACACCGTCGCAACCAACAGGTCCACGTTGTAATCCTTTCTTCTCATCGGGATGTGATTCAAGTAAAGAAGTAATGTTTCGATCATGACCTGATTCTTTAGCAGTCTGTCGTGCCACAATCGCTGCTACTTCTTTGTCCAAGGCAGCTTTTTGTGGGCCTACCTTGGCACGACATTCATCTATTGCCATAAGATATTCGGAAGGCAAGTCAACTTGGTCAACCAATGGCTTATTGCCCAACATCTTACTAGCGTCACCAAGTACGTTAAGTACAGTGGTGAGGTTGGAAGGTAGGTAAGTAGCAATGGGCGAACCACCGGTCGCAATACCATAAGTGGTATGCTGAACAAGAGTTGGGGAAATCAGTATAGGTACATTGCACAAAATAGAAGATGTCCATGTCAAGTATCGCATCTGACTCACCTCAAGGATATAAGACTTGGTAAATTTCCAATGTCTATCCCTGAATTCACGGATTTGATCAACATTGAGCACATAGAGTGCTAAACTAGTAGGATCCGCTTCAGCAAATCGTTTAACTTGATAAGCTGTCGCACGTGCTTCGACAGATTCAACATAATCACGCTGAGTCTTAGGGCGATATGTACGGAAGTCACGTAAAATCGCAGTAAATTCATTTTGCGGTAATCGAGCGGTGATCTCTAGAAGATTATCTCCCACCGGGATCATCGAATCACTAAAAAGAGGACCAGTCAACCAATCTGCGTGGTATTGAATACATTCAACCAACGTACTTGGCACCAGATTCGCCTCTGAAATACAATGCTTCATTACTGACGCCCTCATAGAATACCTAAAGAAATGAGAGGAGCAAATTGTCACAGATCAGATTTGATGTGACAAAATACCGGATTCACAAAAGGGAGAAGATCACAAGAGAAACTACTGACCCCGTTTGGAAACATTTTGTTGAGACGCTTGCCAGGTCCAGTACCAAAAATAAAGCTACGAAACTTCAAATAATCTGCCGGTTTACTGTGACCCCACATAGTATGCATCGAGGCATTGATCTTTTGATAAGCTTGATACATTTGATCCAATGCGATATTAAAGTTCGCTCGGTCACTGGTAGCAACAGCTCCAAGAGCTTCT